ATGGGCATCCACTTCGATCTGGGAATCCACTTCAATCTGCGCATCCACTTCTTGAGCATGTATTGGACTCAAGTATCAGACTTGTGCCAAAGTGTTGAATCAAGCCTCTCGTGACTTCAGAGATCAATTGTTTGTCTACAATCCTTGGATGTGGATGATGTGGCCCATTGTGACTTGAGAGATCAATTATTTATCTATAATCTTTGGGATGTAGATAATGTGGCCCATGTAGGTCTTATTGGTGGAGCTCCCATAAGACTTTGAGGGAACTTCACTACTATACTTGGACTCAGCCTAGAGCTCGATTTGAGAACGCCTTTCAACTTAGTCCAGAGTCCAACTTGAAGATGCCTTTCAACTTGGCCCATAGTCTAACTTGAGAATTAACTCGGACTCAGGTCTTCTTTGACTCGGATGAACTGGGCCAAAGTTTAGCACACAGTCATGTTTGCATGTGACCCGAGTGAACTTTGTTGTAGCTTATATTTGAGCCCATCTAGCTTCTTAGACTCAAATTGAGCATTAGTCTAAAAAAGAGTATGTTTTAACCGTCTACAATTTTGATTTAGAGGTACATCGCATCTCTCTCTCTCTCTCTCTATATATATATATATATATATATATATATATATATATATATAGAGTTTTCGTGCGGCTCGCACCTAATAAGCTTGCTCTCTGGAGAGAGAGAACATGCTATACTGCACTGCCAGCGTTAGAGTTTTGTGCGCTGCAGTGGGGTTTTCGGAAAAAACCCAGCGCGCATTTATTGCCCCTTCCATGACCTTCTCTGCTCTCGTCATCAAATCTCTAAGCTTTTTCTGCCTATTCTCCCGAAATCTCTTCTGCAGATCTGAGCACGAGATCTGCCGATCTCGTCTTCGCGTCCCGTCACCCTCCCGCAGATCCGCTCTCCTCTCGCTTCAGGCTGCTTTCAGCACTGCCGAACGGCCTCCCGCTCCTGTCCTCTCGTGCCGACGAACAACGACGTTGGCCGGACGCGAGGCTGACGGCCGACGCGCTCCGCCTGCAGGCGGCTCCGTGGTCGACGGGGACGTCGACGCGCTCCGTCTCGAGACTCCTGCCTCCTCCTCCTCGGGGACGCCGACGCGACGCCAGCCGTCGAAGCCGCTTCATCCTCTCTCTCTCTCGACGCCGACGCAGGTAAAAACCCTAACCATCTCTCTCGATCTCTCCCTCGATCCCTATGTTTGGATTGTGCTAAAATTGGAGATGGATGAATTTTTTTGGTGATGATTTTTTGGAGATGGATATATTTGTTTTGAACTGAGTTATGATTTAGTTTGCATCATGCAGCTCTGCAGTGATTTCGTTTGTTTTTAAATTCGTTTGCATCACCCGTGCTATCGTTTCGGAATTGGATATCAAAATCTGTAAGCTTCATTTTTTGTTAACTGCTGGCTGTGAACAAGTAAAACTGTTTGTCTTTAGAGTCGAGAGCATCTAACAAATATGAAACCTAGCAAACACAAATATGAAGAAGTTCTTGTAAACAATTTTGAGCAACAACTTCTACTGACTCTGAATCACGTGATAGTCAGCGAATTGAATTTTAATTTGGTTGAAAAATTATGCGCATAGGTTGTATAGTTTTATTCAATTTACCGTATAAAATGTATGCAAGTGAGTAACTAATTATGTGAACTCTGGCATCATGCAGCTCTTGAGACTAAATCGTTGTCCTAGAATCGAAAGAAAATTAGAACTAATTCCAAATATTTAAGAGTCCATCCGACTTTATATTACAGAAACTACCAATATTTTCTGTTAACTGCTGGCTGTGAAGAAACAAATTAAAGCACGAAAGATGTAATTAATGCTATTTTTGGTTATCTATGTAGATTTGGATTGTTTGACCCGTGTTTGAAGATTAGGTGGAACAAATTTAGCTCTGGTAGTTTGGAGTCTGGTATGGTTGTATTTGTGGAAGTACTGGCAAAGTCTTGGCATTGCATGAGCTTCATACTCCATATTAGTTTATCTTTCTTATTGATTGGATCTTAGCTATGACAATAATATGCAACTTTGCATCTTCTGGGTGCCTATGAGTGCAGCACAATGAAAATACATTGGACACCTTTAACACTGATTAACTTTTCTATGTTGACACACGTTCATAAGAATCATAGCTTTCTACTTCGTTGAATTTTATCTTTTCTAGGAAGATGATGAATAGATGATGAATAGAACTGGGACTGGCAAAGAGAACATCCAAGTAGCTTAGACTGTGTATGGTTCTTTCCTGTTATATCTTCGTGGAGGACATTTAGCTGTGTGTGCTTATATCTTACTATTTGGAGCCTGAAAGTGGAGGACAATGAGTTGTAACTTTTTCTGTTTTGAAACAAGAAAATGTATCAAATTTGTGAGAGTTTATTTGAAATTTGGAAGGGCTTGTTTGTGGCTGTTGTTTATTTGAGTTTATTTGAGAATAATCAAATGCTGGCCATGTCTAACGAGTTTGCCTGCTGTTGTTGCTGCTTGTAATTTGTGATATTCATTGTTCTTGTAATGTTGTTGCTGCTGGACATGTACTTGAGAAGTCAACGAAGCTCATTTGTAATGTTGTGTATGGTTCTTTCATTGTTCTTGTAATGTTGTTGCTGTTGGACATGTACTTGAGTTTATTTGGAAGGGCTTGTAATGTTGTTGCTGCTGGACATGTACTTGAGAAGTCAAAGAAGCTCATTTGTGATATTCATTGTTCTTGTACTTGAGAAGCAAATACAGGATAACATGTACATCTACAGAATTTGTGTTGAAATGAAAATTCACTGCCAGCTCTGACTCTGATGCTTCCAGTTTCCACCCCCTGATACTCTAGAACTTAGTACAGCATTGCGCCAATGCAGCTTAATAGCTTCAACTTATAATAAGCACAAATCCAATAACATCAAACTAATAACAAAGAGATATTATAGACAAAGAGCTCATGGTGCGATCTTTTGAGCTGTTGATATCATAAGCCTTTGCCCAAGCTTTCATCTACAGAAAATGCATGAAACGAAATCAAATGGCCAAAATATATGACAACTGACTTATAAACCAGTTCTTTGATCAAATGCAGGCACAGTTCAAGAACTTATCAGCTCATAAGCCTTTGCCCAAGCTTTCATCAGCAGAAAATGCATGAAACGAAATCAAATGGCCAAAATATATGACAGCTGACTTATAAACCAGTTCTTTGATCAAATGCAGGCACAGTTCAAATGTAGCTAAGATTGCCTGAATACATCAGCACAAATGTAGCAAATGATAAACACATATGCAGCACAAATGTATCGACCATAATATAATACATCCAATAACTCTCACAAATTAGAGACATTTTCTTGTTTCAAAATAGAAATAGTTACAACAAAACTCATTGTTGATACATTCAAACTTCATGCTTGGATTTTTTCAAATTGCCACAATTGCTCGAACCACCCATGTGCATGTGAAAGCTAAACTGCCACCTGAAATGATTCATAAAGTCTGGTTACACAGGAGTAGAAAATAAATAAAAGATAATTAGATTGTTCTATGTTATATGTCGACTCATGCATGGAACCAATTATTATATGCTTGAAAGCGAAACAGAAAATGGAAGCAATTTAGGAAATTTAACAAAGCTAAATTTCTACAATATGCCCCTCTTAATAAGTTGTGATATCTAAGCGGAGGGTAATGCTATATATTATCTCGGAAAACTAAATTGAACATTAATGCGGCTACCATATGACCGTCGCAAAAAGGGAACAAATTCCAACATACTTACATGAACAAATCCATGCATGTGGAGCTCAAGAATCCAGACATATTTTCGTTTAGCTGCAAATCACATGACAAATTAATCATATAATTGTACCAAGGCAAAAATTATGTATTATGAACTTTCATGAAAAAAATATAAACTTCATGGTTCTCAAGTTGGTGCATTCCAATTGCATCTATAGATTTAGTTGCAAGTACAAAACAGGCCTGGACTCTATAACATGTAGGTTTCAGAAATCAAACACTCCAGAGGTTGCATTTATCATTTTGGAGGTAAAAAAATTAGTGCATCACCAAAAATTATTACATCACCAAAAATCACTTTAAATCCCTACAAACAGAACTTACACAGTGTAAGAAATAGATGTAAACAAGCAGGCTACACCCTTTATCGGTTGCATTTATCAACTAGATAGCATAATTACGATACTCAACTAGATAGCATAAGAAATAGATCATGAACTGGCTGTCACTAATAATTCCCCAAAGTAGGATTAATATAATCAAACCCGTTCAAATCCACAATCATCACTTGCTAGACCATCACAAATAGAATTTCAACGCAATTAATTCAACAACAAATTCACAGCAAAGACTCAATTCTCAAAAACAAAGTTGACCTCAAATGAAATTTTAAACCCCTGCAAGCACACAGATAAACCCAAAAGAAACTCCTAACCTCAAATGAAATTTTAAAAATAGTAAACAAAGTCTATAAGCAAGCAGAAACCAGTTTTATCACCGTCCTCCTCTATGTTTGTTGATTTTTTTCTTAATTAACTAGGTCAATCTAGAGAGGGATTAAGAGGGATAAGCTGAAATTTTACCTGACAGGGAAATTGGGGCTGGGGTTGGCGGCTCGATCTCGCGGTTGTTGATTTGGGAGGAGGACGGGGGGAGGGGAGATCTCGCGGCGGCTTGGTCGGCTCGAGAGAGGGATCAAGATGGAACTCACGGCGGCTTGGTCGGCTCGATCTCGCGGAAGAGATGAGAAGGAGGGAAGGGGGGCTGGTGGTGGCGCACACAGAACGGGGGGCTGGAGGCTCTCAAAAGGCGGCGGCTCAGAGGGGACTCGCGGCGGAGAACTCGCTGCAGATTTGAGAGCGGCTCAGAGGGGAATCAAAGAGGGCTTGGAGCGGAGATCCCTCGCGGCGGCTTCGATTTGGGGCGAGGACGGGGGGAATGGATCTTCGGTTTTTTCATGCTCAGATTTGAGAGAGATTTGGGGAGAAGATAGAGATTTGATGAGAGAGAGAGAGAAGGTCACGAAAATGGATTTGGTCACGGAGGGGATATAAATGCGCGGTGATTATATAATATATATTTGAAAAAACCCTGCCGCGCCGACGAAACGCGAGAGCTGGCGCAGCTCATACACAGTTTTTTCTCATATATTATATAAAAAAATATATATAATATATATAAATATATATTATATATGTATATAATATATATATATATATTATATTAATATAGTATATATATATATATATTATATATTATATATATATTATATTTGCAAAAGCGCTTTGCTTTTGATTTAGGGGTGAGCTAGCATCTTTTTACTCCCCCCCCCCCCTTCTAACTTTTCAACAAGAGAGAAAAAAAACCTTTGGCTTCACCTCAAGATTATCCCCCACCGCTACTCACCCTTGAAATCATTTCCTACAATGATATCAAATGTCCTCTTGCGTCAACCAACAATAGCTACAATACCACTCTGTTCCCCACCAGACGCTAGTACCCCTTTTTAGAGCTTGTCGTTGAAACCCCACCCGCCCTTTTCAACCAAAAATAGCCACAATACCTCTCAAAACTACTATCATGATATCGATGATGGAAGGATCTTCTTCTCATGGTGGCATCCTCTTAGAATCTGCCTCCTCCAGCGAGCAACAATCAGCGATAATGGCACTACTTTCTGAGAAGGTAATACATTTTACATCTTTGATCTATAGAAAATTATATAACCAATAAATTAAAAAAAATTATATTGATAGTGTTATTGCCATTTTAGTGATGGAAAATAATCTCTAATCAATGACAGACAAGTCTTCTATATTAGGCATAATCAAGTCAGCACCTCAAGACAATTAGAGACTCAACTCGGTCGACTCAACACACCGACATCTCGCGAGGACGACTCGAAAGGCGTCACATGTTAACCACCTGAAAGGCGTTACACGTCGTTCCTAGCTGAGTCGACTACTTAAGCACTCCACTCAGCAACTCATTAGCCGACAACTTACAAGGGCTACTCGAAAGGCAATACTTCTCGATCACCAGACGAGTAGAAAGATGATGAAATGCCTTAAGCCTTGAGCCCCTCTTGTGCACTAATGACCAATAACCTCACCATAAATGTCATTAAATACATTATGGGCACCATCATTCCTCTACATCCAATAGTATTTATGACAAATTGGACCACATTAGTACCACACATCCTATATCACTTCACATTAAAGTGCAGTGACCTCTCCTCCACTCCTCGACCGACACCTGTAAAGTTGAAGCTGACTTGGTCGCTAGTCCATGCCCGGCCAAAGTTACCATCCTACCATCCTTCTATTACTACAATAGGAGATACTATTTTCCGTTACAGGGTAAGATTTTCCACTATTCACTAAACTTACGAACTACTACAGTTCCCTTTACTCCTCCACACAAGCCACCCACTAACTTGATCATCGGAGGAATAACCAGGGAATCACACCCCGCCCTCTCATGATTTGTTACTTGTGTAGGTAGGGAAGTACAGCTTACCCAAAGACCAGACATTTGGAGAGTTACAGGACCTCCATCAACTTAATCTACTTTCATTTGACTAAGTGATTCCATACATCAACAGTTTGGCGCCCACCGTGGGGCCTTCTTTCTTCTCCAAAGAAATCATGTCTGACTCTGGGCACATGACTGATCAACTTATCCCCGGAGATCCACAACCAAATTACGTCACACAAGCTCAGCTCGAAGAATCCACCCAGCGGATCACTCAAGCCTTCCAGCAGCAGTTCACTGCTTTTACTGCCGATCTCCTCTAACAGATCACTCCTCCCCAGCTTGCTCACTTTGTTGCCCCTCAACCATCAGGGGAACAGCCTTTGGTGACTCACCCTCTGACAGGAGCCCAGCTAAAGGCTCCTCCACCTCTGCATGCTGCCCATGACGCACAGTAGATAAGCCGCGTCAAGCACGCATCTCCTCCTCCGTGCTAGCCGACTTGCTGAGTTGATCCTCACCACCACTACCCTCCATACCCTAAGGTGACTGGGGAAAGGGCTATCCCTGGTCATGATGGAAGGGAGCACACCACTATGGGAGCCCAGCGAGATCTCCGATGCCATCACGCCACTCCGGGACCCTCAACTGCCTATGTGGCCTCTGGCTATGATCAGACTTACCGACCGATAGCCGAAGCCATTAGAGGGAATAGTCCTCTCATCGATAACATCATGAATGTTCCTATGAGAAGTTTAAGATGCCCCCAGATAGAGAAGTACAAGGGTGAGCAAGACCCTGCGAAGCATGTCCAGAATTATTATGATATGATGAGCATGCTGTAGGTGTCCAAGGCCATTCTCTGCAGGTGCTTTCCCATCACTTTGTCGGGAAGCGCCAAACTCTGGTGGAACTCTCTAGAGAAAAAATCCATTGGAAGTTTCGAGCAGCTCAGCTAGAATTTGTCTATCACTTCTTGCCTGACACCAAGCAAAAGTTGCCTGCCCACGTGCTCATTCAGATGAGGTAAGAGCCTGGAGAGAGAGCCTCTGAAGCTACTTCAAG